CAGAATTCCTCACCCAGGCTGGGGAATTCTGGGAGTTGAAGTCCACACATCTTCAAGTTGCCAAGGTTGGGAAACCCTGATCTAAAGGCTTTTCTATATGACATATGCCTTTTAAACAGCTGCTTTGCATTACACTAAGTCACAAATCATAGTTTACAGAGAACAATGTTGTTGTTCCTACAACAAACAATGCCACAAGCAAACAAACTACATGTTGGTTTAACAGAAAAGTGTAAACTCAGTTATCCTGGATGCTTTATTTTGACGTAGCAAGTTGAGTCAACACAGCCGCCGTACTTTATCAACAGGCTTTACGCCTTAGCATGATGTGTGAAATCAACTCTGAATGTGCTTCTCAACTACTACCATTGCCAAGCAGGGTTTTCTAATTAGGCCCGGGCCATCCAGGGTCCACCCTCCGTCCACCCTCAGCACCCTTGTGACTGCGCTGTCCTGTGGCAGAAAATGGGGGGCCAGGCCAAGGAGAGACCTCACATAATTTAAGGACGCTTCATTACCTTTGGGATCCAAGAGGAGGTGGCAGTTGTAGATCCGTTGCGTGCTTTCCCAATCCTTGCCTCTCTCGTGGAAACCTCCAAGGGACAACCAGACTCCACATTCCCTGCCAAAAGAGAAGCAAAGATTGTTTCCACCCGTGCTTACCTGGCTGAGGTCCCCCCACCCACCCACTGGCACCTATAGAAGACAGCAGCAGATGGGACAGAGGCAGAATCCCAGCTCTCTGCATCTGCTGTGAGAACAAAGATCTTTTATTTCATACATCTGAAATGGTCTTAGGGGATAAAGAGTTGATTGGTTCTGGGAGCGGGGTTTTATGATTCATCTTAGCTATACGTAGATAAGGCGCAACAGGGATCCAAATTCTTTGAGAAGCCACCCCAGTTTAAACACCAGCCACTCTGGCATCCTGCCTCCTACGAGTCCTACCTGGCCAGGCTGACATATCGCTGAAGATAATCTCCTTCCAGGGGCTCAGCCAGGCTGAGGGTTTCCTCTGTGTTGCTGCCAATGAAGTCAAAGGCCTCTGGAAGGAAGACAATGCAAGCATCCCGGCGAGTCGCCTCTCGGACGAGCTGGGAGCAAGATGCCCAGTTGTGTTCTCGGTCAGAGGTTGAGGTCATCTGGCAGACTGCAATTAGGGGCTTTGGGCCTCTTGCAACCGAGGACATAGCTGGGAACCTGGAGAGGAAGAACGCAGGACAAGATATCAGACTGGCCCTACGCAGAAATCATCACTCCTGGATGAGAAACAGAAGATTTCTTTAGCATTTTACTTCTCCATCTACTTTTGGCATGTTCAGTATTTTTGAGTTGCTGGGGAGAGAAAACGTATGTTGTAATCTCCCTGCACTAACCTGAACTTGGAAGGCAACGACTGAGTTTTATGGAAACTGAAAATCACTAAACCAGTGATCCCTTCAGATATGGCTAAACTGTAATTCCCAGTTAAGGTGGCTGGAGCTTTATTTCAACCTCCACATCTAGGAGATTTCAATTTTCCCACCCTGCCTTACCATTCCAAGGGTCTCCTGAGCCCATGCATCCCCGAGGTTAGTTACCTGTGGCCAGATACGTGGCTCTGGACCCCTCTAAACTGTTTCCCTGCCGCAGAAACGATTTGCAAGGTCTTCTGGACCAGCCCTCTCAACCTAGAAAAGCCAAAAGATGAGAACTGTTTTTCTTTCTAAGCTTCAAGGAGAACCTCCTCCAGAACTGGTGGAGGATAATGGCTCTTTCTGCAGTAGGGTAGCCAATTCCATGGCCCAGAAGCAGGAGCACAAACGCTCAAGGCGCATCACTCTTTAGGGGCTACGATCTCTTCCCCCAGAGAAAGAAACTGTTTAAGAATTTGAGGTTGTTTTTTTTTATTAAACGTAGAACAGGGAAGCTCACTTGAGACATGGAGTTTCACACCCCTTTTCTTTGGCAGCGTGATTTTTAAAATAACCCAGAACTGAAAAACGGGTTCAGAGCCCCAAACCCCAACAGGTGACTTCACGGGGAACGTTCGTTCAGAGAGAGCACCCCTCTGCTCCCCACACCCGCTTTACTCTCTATAGAAAGAATAAACGGGGAGCTCATTCCGTCTTCCTCCAAAGAGGTAAAGGCAGTTCCCGAAGAGACGGGCTGGCTGGGGATTCTGGGGATGGCCGTCTCCAGCTCCCTGGCAGAGGCCGCCGAGGAAGGCCGCGCGGGCACTTCTGCCAGGGAGGCCCATCGTGCCACAGACGGAGCAGCGAAACGGAGGAGGGAAAAGCTTTGGTCTGGCTCCCTGCTGCTCACCCGGGCTGCTTTTCCCTTCTGGGAGGCGAGTTCGGTCTTAGGGCCCAGCCTTCCGCAGGGCCGGGAGGCGGCGCCATTTTATTGTCCCCTCTTCACGACCAGTCCCTGCCCTATTGCTTTGCTCTCTCCCCTCCGTGTGAATCGTTGTCGTGCTCGTGCAATGCGTTTAACCCCGTTGAAGGTCTAGTGCGGTGCTTCCCAAGCTTGGCCCCTTTCAGATGGTGGACTTCAGTTCCCAGA